AAACCCTCGGTGACATATTACACCATTCGATCATGGTAACAGCTGTTTGATATAGTTACCATCCACAACAAAGCAGCAGCTTGCAGTAAAGGAGAGAAGGCCCATTCTTTGCCTGACATTTCTACAGTGTTTCCCTGTGAGCCAAGGAATGTTATTTACACCTGCTTGAATGAATGAATGGCGTACTAAGACTAGCTCCCTTTTCATGATGGAAATTTCATTACTGCAGATTCCATTTCCATCATCAATTATTAAAACTTTACTGTTTAATCAAGTGATCCTCTGGACTCTATTACAATCATGACTCACAGGTCAAACAGAGTCGTGGTGACAACAGTGAAGTTGTGGTGAAACATCTTTGTATCTTAAGGATACAACAATGTTACACGTCTGTCCAGAGAGCATTTAAATCTAATTAAAAAAAGAGAAAATTTATGATTTTTTATGCATCAGAGTCCCACATTAATATAAAGGTCTGGCTTGCTTTGAGCGATGTTATTGAACACAAATTTCTGTGTTTGTGTCCTTTTCAGAACACTCTCCACCACTGCAGCATTTTACACACGGCCCTGCGACTACAGCCCTGTAGCGAGCCTTGCATAATGAAATCTGGCATGTTTCTGTTTAAGGGTTACTCTGCTTAAGCCAAAATACAACATTACTAGGGCATTACCCATTAGGGCTATAACAGAGAGGGAGAGGCCATGCAAGCTAACCCTTTCCTTTTGTTTAGATTTCTTGGGACTCGTGGCAATATCTCGCCTCAGTGAGACTGCTGTGAGCTACGCAGCCTGGTCTATTTTCATTTTCAATCAGTGTCTTCAGAACCATCAGGGATAACTAGCAGTTGCAGCTCAAACAGGGTTTTACTTTGTATTTCATGTAAAAAATTCATGATGCTTTTCTTCATAATCTTTAATTCTGTTTAATTTAGTACTAACGTTGGCACAATTAATACACTTGACAGTCAACTGTAAGCTTATGAACATTAACTGAGGAGAAAAACACAGATGGTACCGTATGGGGAGAAGAGAAGTAGTAGATTACCAGTGTATATGCAAGAACCTCACAAGATTTTTATCCTCATAATCTTTTTGTTCTTCTCTTGGCCAAAAATTGCTATCCTTACTATAGGCATCGTCCTCAATACGTCAATATAAATATTACAGCGATGGGGCTGACATTCATCATCTGTTCAGCATTAGCTTAGGTTATAGCAAACTGTCGACATTTTTCAAAGTGCTTAGTGCAATGTACAGTTTGATACATTTACTCGCAAAGCTGATTTAGCTCAAACATATGACACCGTGTGAGGAAAACTACAGTACAAGACACCAAAGAAGGTTGAGCATGATGAAAAATGGATGTGTTCTTTAAGAGCGCAGTCATCCAAGTGTCCTGAAGCACACCTCATGGACTCTGTGTCCCCTGTCCCCTTAGCCCCCTGCCATGAAACCATCAGCAGGGCCACATGGCCCTTCCACCCCCTTGCTAGAGGGCCACCTATGAAACCCGGCACCCACGCACACCACATGTCCCAGATCATTCAGTATAGTTAGCTAAGCTGTCTCTGTTATGTAGCCATTATCCGTTTAGCTTCTGCCTGCTCCACGGTGTCAGCTTCCTTTTGTTAAGACTCATTCAGGTACAAAGTATTATTACACCCTGTGGAATAGGATAGCTTTACAAAGCCATCAAGGGAAAGCATTTATCCCATTGATTATGTATTCACACTGGAGGAAGACTGTATTTGTGGCATCTTCGTGCACAACCTGTTGTCCTTGATCAAACAGAGGAAATGAAGGAATGACGCATTAAAAAAAAAAGAAAATGCCCTTGCACAAAAGGTCTGTTGTGTTCCCTGACTCGCCACTTTTCCATTACTTTGAATTTCTACGCATTCGCATAAGCAGCTTAACTTTTTGCCTTTTCAGTGAAAAAAGCCAGAGCATCGTTGTCCCTAATGTCACATGGGCCTCATCAAATTCAAACCTCACTTTTCAAGATCTTATGCTGTACTTTTACACGCAAACAAAAACAACACAAACTGTCCCTTTTCATTTAATGTATGTGGTGAAATATGAGCCACATAAAGATATGTTTGGTTAATTGACAGTCAAAACTAATTAATTTCCTTTGTGTTAATCAAAGACATGCAACACTGGTGACCTGTCTGAGCTCAAGACAATTCATTTGATAGTTTGCAGAATACTGCGTGCAAAACAGGGGCTGTGAAACAAAATATGAACTCACTGCACTCAAATTGATAATTTGAAATACCATCAGGAGGGTAGACATGGAATACATCTTTTTTTCTACCCTACAACTTAAGTTTGTGGACAGTCTTGAATCAAGAGGTCCATTGCTCTCACGGATCGCATGAATCTTTCATTCCCCTTTAGCATGTGGAGTGCATGAATTGTGTCCTCCATACTAACTCAATGCATTTCCTCTGTAAGCTGCTCATTCCCAGTCACTGCACTGTGAGTGCTGACATCTTTATTCATGAGCACACACGCTCACTGTAAAGTCCTCTGAGGAGTATTAAGACTTATATCTTGAAGCTCTGATGCACACCAGGGAGGACTGTCAAGAGACTGGGAGCAACGATAGTGTTAGAAGGTTTCTGTTGCTCTCATCTGTCACTCTTCAAACATTACAGGAGCATGGCAGTGCTGAGATGTATCACAAAACAAACATGCATAATTGGGAAGACTGGAAACTCAAAATGTAGCTGAAAATACTTTATCTCTGACAATGTTGCTGATGGTAAATTAAACTTGTATCCATGGCCTAGAATCGAGTCAAACTCACAATTAAAAATTAAAATACTAGATGCTTATGATTAAATAAAATGGGACTTATTTATTTCTAAAATAAGATACTGATAGTAGGGCATGCCTTGAAAGGCATCACAAAGTGAGGAATATCGCATCAAAACTTTTGTACTGCAGATGGTAGTGACCTCTCATGGCGCAAACATAGGTTAAAAGTTAAAAGAATAAAGTGTGCTCTTGATCTTAAAAGGAGTGCCATCAGAATGATTCCATGCAGCTATGTCATGCTGACCATAAAAAGCTCTTGTGAGAGCCTGGCAGGAGGTGGTCAATCTGGGGATTTATACCACTGAGTGGTAACATCGTATTAATTCTCTCTGACTCAGGATTGCTGTCTCTGTGGTACATCATTCATAACAGGACTGGGATTTACTAAATATGAATGACAAACACCAGTTCACCATTAAAGAGAGTGCATTTTTACATTCACAGGCAAATCTGCTAAGCTGTGACATATCACATGTACAGCCATTTTACTGGTCAGTGCATTGATCCACCGCAGCCAACCAGAACATTAAACTGACTCATGGTTTCAAACACAAAAGTAACGTAACATATATAAAACATTTTAACTTCAACAAGGACTGAAAATGAAAGACATCAGTTTATAAACTGTAAAGGTGGTCAGGTAGATGTGTTAAATAATGGGGACTGTTAGAAAAAGCCTGTGATCGGCTGCTATCGTTACTCAGCATTCTACTGCCCCTGATGAAGGTGTTTTTAAAATCCTCTTCTGCACAGGCTTTCTTTTCTAAGTGAAAGTTTATAAAATCTAAAAATTATGTTTTTACAACATTTGTTGTAAACTGAGCAGAGCCAAATGCATTGCTGCATTCACGTTTTAGCTTCACTTACAAAAATTCTGACTGGTTTAAAGAAACATCATTAGAGCAGATTGTTTTGAAAATATATTCTTCATGATAATGAGTACAGCAAGATAATGTTCAAGTTACAAGGCAGTTGGTCAGTGAAAACCAAGCTGTGGGACACTGGTTAGATGTGCTACCTTTCACAGACTGTAAGTAGAAGAAGGATGTAGCTCTCCATCTGAAACATTAGGTTGATGCTTACGTCTCTTAAACCTACATTCTTTCTAAGGGAAGCTAGTTTGTGCAGCAGTCTACGGGGAGAGAAGACTCACCTGGCCATCTACAGTATTGGAAAACCTATCTTCACCACGGGTTTCATATCTTACCTAAATCCTTATGTTCTTTGTATGAATTCTGACACCACTAATACAGACTGTAAAGCAGGGTATAAGTTTGGGGTAGAGCTATGCAATTTGGGGTGATGTCATTGTGGCTGTCATTTTCTTTTTTTAGAAGTCTGTTGCATTCACCCCTGTTTCCATAACGTCAGTCCTTAATACATTCTTGTTCCGACCAGTGACAACTATGACTGTTTTACTCTCCATCTTTTATTTACTGTACAATACATGTAAAAACAGACTTAATAAAAGGAAGTGATTAATTAAACAAGCAATTTCAACCTCAAGAAGAACCAGTGCATAGGATGAGGAAATAAGATATTTATCACTGTTTTTAAAAAAAAGATTTTTGTCAGATTAAAGAATATCTAATGAGTTGGTAACCCTCAGCTGATTCTGGATTGCTGCACTGTCAGGCTTTTTGTTGCGCTGAGCATAAAAAACAACAGCGCTTCCCCCCCTATTTATTTCTGTGTGTTTCGAGGACGGGGAGGTACATTACATTCAGTTGTTTGCGATGTTCATCTCGCAATACCACAAAATGAAAACTGGTTTAATTGATTTTGAATCAAACAATAACCCCAAAAATAATATTGAAAAATATAATGCTTATATACTGCAATTTCTGAAAATGTACAACTATTTATACTACCAAAAAAACTATTTTCATACAGCAGTCCTGTCAATGGGAAAAAAAGAATGCATATAATGTATTACCATTTCTTGAGGCAAATGAACTGTTTCATGTCCCGATACACTCAATACTCAAGTGTGAGGAAGATTAAAGTCTGTCGTCTGCTTCTGCACAAATAGCTTACAGGAATAGCTCCATCACAAACTTACAGGATAGTTATTTTAAAGCTGACTGCCATCACCGCATTCCACCATGAGATATAATGAGGGCTGCACTCCCTAAAACTGACTGCAGATTGTTAGGAGCTAACTGACAGGCCACATCACGAGGTGGATGATGAGAAGCTGCAGCTGGAAGGAGCAGCAGAACGTCACAGAAGACACTGAGCGCTCAGGCCTGCTGTGGCAGAGGCAGGACTCTGCCAGGTCACTTACTCACCATCCTTACGGTGGTAGGTGATCTCCACCTTGCGCTCCTCAGAACCAAGCACAGCCTGTGCCACCTGGTCAATGGCCTCTTTGTCAGTGAGGTCCCCATGGAGGAAGTCACAGGTGCATGGCTTCTGCATTATGTCTGGTCTTGAGAAGCCCGTCATCTCACAGAAGCCATCGTTGCAGTATATGATCGCACAGTTCTCCACCCTTGCATTGGCTATAATAAATTTACGGTCTGTATAAAAAGAGGAGATAAGAGTGTGTGTGAGGCTGTGGTATATACACATGTATCAGAAGTCAATTTGATCACAGATATGCTCAAAATTATTTGTGTCTCTAACCCCTCGGGAACATATTCTATTAGTTTTCTCAACAAAAACGCACATTCTAGACTAGTATATTAATGGAAAACGTAAGATAATTCTAAAAACCCAGTGTTGGTCTGTCCGGAAACATTCGTCATAATAATTGTAGCAGATTTTGTACGTCAGGAAGATACTTACTCTGACCCTCGAATTTCCGAATGATCAATCCGAGGAAGGTGTTCTGTGGCGCAACGTGACCTCTTCTTATCGGCATGTTTACGCGCAGATAATTCCACGACCTCCACTGAAGGCGCCTTTATAAGAAAATCCTGAAGTTGCGAATGTTGACTGGTAACAATATTGCCTTTACCATACTCGACACGAGCACTCTCTCCACTTTAAAGAACCTTCCCACTTCGTCGAGGAGTTCTTTATCCCGCTTGTATGCCGGAGCATACGAATGCCTCCTCACCGAAACGCGCGGAATCGGGGAGGATAGCGTGAGTTAGATTCAGTTCGCCAAGCATTTCGCGTTGAGGATGGGTGCAATCCTGACGTGCTCGGTTGCGGTGTGCTGGGCGCTTCCAGCGGACAGCGGTTAATATGCCGAGGGGAGTGACGTTGCTCCCAGTGGGCTTAGTTCGCACTACCTCTGGTAGAGTGTCACTGCCTTGTGCAGCGACACATCACCGGAATAGACCTTGCGCCTACAATATGCTGCCCCGTGTGAAAAACAACAAATTTCCCTTCACAAACTGCCAGGACATTTTAAGGAAGGAGAGAAACGGCGATATTATTAGAACGTGCAACTCTCTCAAAGACCCCAAATCAGTGCCATAGGGCTGTTTCAAAGCATGGCTTCCTCATAATGCACGTCACAGTACGAATATTAAACCTTTAAATGTACTCCAAAATGTTAATAAAAGTAAAAATAATGGTTTCCAGATTTAATAGCAAAAACTACTTTAAACATGAGTTAGCTTTTGTGCTGAATTACTGATATTTATGCTGGGGGGCTATTGATGTGAATATACCTCTGGAGAAAAGGGTGTTGGTTGAAATATGAATATTCTTGAGTCCCCTGGCTGAATCAGCCCTGATGTCATGACAGTTTGAGAAAATACAATATATAGCCACTTTAAAGGGTAGACTAGCTTTCCTTTTAATTGTGTTACTGTTTAACTTGTCAAACAATGTTAAAGTAGTTGATTCATTAAAAAAAAAATGGCCAAGAGAGAAGAATGTTTAATGAAAAGCAATGTTCCTCACTGAATTTCAGAGACTAATTTCACCCAGGCGTGAGATTAGATAAATATGAAATTAGAAAATGTACAGACATAGATTTTTTAAAAACCAGAATAGTTTTTCCCATCTTTATATTTCACCTGGAAGCTGATAGTTGCATCTATAAAAGAATTAAAAACAACAGATATACTGGACTTTTTAGGATCCGCTTAGAGAGTTGCCCTGTGCAATTCTATGCAATCTACTGGTTTCCTAATTAAGCAAACTTTTATTAAATGGATGTTTATGAATTGGACTAACTTGGTCTAGGACTTGCTGCTGATTGTTTAACAATGGATTGAATTGTAATTGTCTTTAATTCGATTGTATCATTGAAGTGCATGGAAAATACATTTGTCATAATTTGTTGAACTATAAACACAATTAAATTGAATTAATTGGTTCCCTTATTGGTATGGGAATTGTTTAATCAGGAGAAGAAAAAATAATTCCATTCAATTGATATTTATATGTTTTTTGGTAACTTGGGGGAGAAGTGTTAAAAAATGTAATCATCTCTCGAATATATTTTAACAGGATGTCTGCTGGAAATCTGATGATGGATTTGGCATATGCTCTTGTGCCTGAGCTTGATGCACCCATTATCATCATCTGACATGAACACTGCTGAGTAGAGGTGAAAGGCTTGTACATCATAATGATCCCACGTGCACAATGTACACGCATATAGTTGCTCAAGCAACATAATATATAACTCCCTCTTCAAGTTTAAATATTTCACAATAAAATAACCTCAAATCCACAATAGTTGTTTGGTTTTTAATTTTCTAAGACATCATATAGAAAGAACCGATAGGACAAACCAAGTACTGGCTGATGGAAATAAAGCTACTTCAGATTTTATCTTGTGGAATTCTTTTCACATCCATAAGAGTTTTATATTCAACGTGTCCTCATTTTAAATTCAGCACCGTCAAGTATAGTCAAAACTATGGCACAGTCAAATAAAAAGCACACAAACCTTCCTTTGAGAAAAAAATGATCAATCATTGGAATTTGAAGAGTCTTTAGTGCACAACTCTTCATACAAACCTCTTCATATATCTATCCCTGCACCAGATGCTCATTTAGAAAGCCCTAACAGTCAATATTGTTTACTCGAGTCAACAAACCCAGCTAGCGCACAGCTATCCAGGTGGAAGTACTAAGAGTCCAAATTATTCACACATCAGTGAGAATCTGTAATAGATGAAAGAGCCTTGGGTTTGTTTCTTTAGCTTTGGAACAATGGATCTAGAAAGGGACGAAGGAGGAGAGCAAGGACATGAAAGGGCAAGAGAAGAGGAGGGAGCCACGGAGACAAGTAGTGTCAGAAGAAATTTGTGCCACTCTTGTCAACTATGACCTTGTCAATGGGTCGTTAATGAGGGAGACTATCAGGCAAAACTTCAGAGGAGAAAAGAAGATGATTTTACACAGGCCTCCTCAATAAAAAAAGAGTGTTGCATCAGCTTTCACAGGACTGCTTTGATTTATGATTGGTTTTGTTGGTATAGGAAGGAAGAAGGCTCCAATGCTGGAAAGGAATAAAAAATGCAAACATAGACCCACTTCTATAACAGAGGGAACGGGTGCATGTAATAGAAAACAAGGTGGAAGGTACAGAATGGATCTTTTCAAGAAAAAAGGAAAATAAGAGTAAACATACACCAACAGATGAAAATGAAAAGCAAAGCTTGAGACACAAGAAAAAAGCTGTTTGGAAAATTAAATGTAAAGTCACAGTAAGAAAACAAAAGAAAAACGCTTTAAAGAACATTACACAAATCAGGACATATTCACCCTTAGCAGGACATCACCCCCTTTTTTAACAATCTCACAAAGGAAGAGATTTTTAAGTATCACGATGGATGTATTACCTGTATCTCTACATCCACCTCCAGCCTAGAAGAGGCCCACTTAGACAATTTAGTTATACCCCTGTTGCCTGTGACAGTAATTCAATCATTTGATTGAGCAAGACCAGAGACCAGATGACGCAGTAGAATAATGACCTTTCACTTGATGTTACATGTTATATTTTCAAGGTATTGTGGTTTCGAATCTTGTTCATAATGCAGAAAAGACGTTTGCATATATCTTAACATTTGCTGTGGATATTTTTTGTGTGTTCCTTAGATTGCAGGCTATTAATGAGGTGCTAAAAGCTGCATTAGTCAGTGTAGGCTTTTACAGAATAATCTCGAAGAGGTTTGACCACTGTGTGGGACTGTGCTCTAACTTTTGCGTCTTCAGGCCTTGTTGTGTGGAACATTCGGCAAGGTTGGATGGTGTCCTTGGAGTACGTAGTTATGGTCTTGTTTATGAAATTCTTGAGAACAAAGACATGGCTCGGTGCTACATTTTTTTAATGAACAGAGCAGTTTCAGAATTTCAACTCAAATCAGTTTGAGGGGAGTTTGTGTGAGGTGCACACTGAGACGCTGTCCATGGTGCTGCAATTTCAGCATCACTGTCTGCATTCCTTGGCTACTGGAGAAAAGGCATTTGCTTTTATGCGGTGCAATTGCATCCTTACACTCTCAATCTCTCTCTCACACACCACTGTGAACAAAAATACACACAAACACACTCTTCCTGATTTTCATGAATGGATGCATGAAAGATATAGCCTGCTTTTCATGCAGGCATTCAAGTGTGTCTAATCTGTGTGGGCTGCAGCCATGTGGTGAACAAATGAAAATGTATGCATAATGCAAAACCTCACTTACAGTCTTGAAACATCTGCCCCAGTATTCAGGATAAGCTCATCAAACATCTGGCCAATTGAGGGCGAGAGAGCACAATTAATATAGATGGATACATCATAATTATATGCCGGGAAAACACAAATGTATTCATATCCATAAACACACCTTTGAAATAAAAAATAAGTTTGTTGTTTTAATTTTTGTTTTAGAATTTTTTTTATAAAAAGCTGAATTTTTCTAATTTTTCATTTTTGATGATCTGACGGATATCTTTGCACCCAGCAACATGATGGGGGAGGCTGGGTCACCATAAACCTCTCCACAACCAAATCCCACCATCAATCCCTAACAGATAGGCTATCTTGTCAGGGTCTGGGAGCGGTTTAGGAAAGGATTAAACCCACACTGGGCCAGCCCCCTCCTATACTGGTTTGGTTAGTGACCTAAAGTAGGGGCAACATTTGCCACTGTAATTTAAAATCTCACCATAAATAGTAACAGCACTGGAAATGTAGAGACGCATTTCAAAGCAATAAGCCTAAAAGGTAGAAAATTAATACAAATTATACCCATACCAGCACTTTCTGGTGTGTCCTGGTGGTGCCCCAGCACATCCATTAGTGCCAGTAATTGTCTCAGCTTTATTATTACTGATGGCGGTGATAGCAATCACAGCAGTACTGATATATGGAGGGTGGGTGGAAGATTAATAAGCAGTGACCAGCTGAAGGTTTATTCATCGATCTGTCACCTATTGTTTTCTTTCCCCAGTATTGTTTAATCAATGTGCTTCTTGTGTGGTGCCATTAGTGAAAGTCAGTGGAAAAAAATAAATAAATGTATAAAATTGAAACAAAACAAAAAAAGGATTTTCCTCTTTAGTATTATTGGCCTACATTTTGAGGATTGAGCTAAACACTTGTTTTGCAGTGCTTTGTGAAATGAGCTTACTTTAAAAGTCAGCTTGGGAAGCAATTTTTTGACTTCGCAAGTAATAGGGAAAAATAATCTCACGCTGCTTTTCCCCCCATAAAGTGAGGCTTTCTTAAGCTACAGTGCTTTGTCTGCATTTGATCAAACTGAGCATCAGAATTGCATTAAGGCAGCCTGTGGGTCTTATCCATTACCCATGAAACAACCCCTCAGAATACACTCTTACTCACTTACAGTCAACTTAAAATTGTTACATGCTCTTTATGCTTCTTTATCTTTACATCTTTGGACACACAGTCAGGTACACATCTAGCTCAGGGACTCTTACCCTGGAATGAGAAATATT